GGATCAAACACGACGAGGAGGAGTACGCAGAGGACTGTTATTATTCCACATCCACTAACTGCTCTGATACCACCTCAAACGATTCGGATATTGATTTCTCCGATTTGGAGGAGGAGGAGCGCAGGAGTTTTTTCAGCTTTGAAGATGACTTGGACGATGACTGCACTTCTCCCGACTTCTGGGGTGAACCTGACCAGGTCATTTCAATCGAACCATTCTCCGCTGTCAGCGGCCCTCAGCACTCGCTGGGGGACGATGCTGACACCCGTGACTATTTCCGGATACTCTTCCCAGATTCTCTTTTTGAACACATGGTAGAACAAACAAACAAATACGCCCTCTATCGGCAAAGGAGGAGTGGAAAATCAGACCCCCACTGGCACCCCACAGATGTCAGAGAGATGAAAGCCTATGTAGGTCTGAATATTCTTATGGGCATCAACCAGCTTCCAGACACTGGCATGTACTGGGCCAGTGACATTTTCATAGGCAATGCAGGCTTTAAAAAAACAATGACAGCCAGGCGCTTTGAAAAACTCACCCAGTATCTCCAGCTGTGTGACCGTGAGTCTGAGCCTGTGCGTGGAGAGCGTGGTTATGATGGCCTCTTCAAAGTCAGGCCTCTCCTTGATGTGGTGGAGAACACCATGTGGGATGCATACACGCCCAATCGCTGTTTGACCATAGACAAGTGTGCCATTGTCATGAAGGGACGCTTCTCCCCCACCCAGTACATGCCCTCCAAGCCACTGAGGAAGGGGCTGACGGTGTGGATGCTGTGTGACTCACGCTCAGGCTACTGCCACCGGGCCAAGATCTACGTAGGCAAGCCCAGTGAAGACGAGGCAGCGGCTTCCCTGGGCTACAGGGTGGTGACCTCCCTCGTGCGTGGCCTGGAGGGTCAGTACCACCATCTCTTCATGGACAGCTTCTTCACCTCAGTGCCCCTCCTCCAGCGGCTGCTGAGGGATGGACTATACGCCTGCGGGCCCACCATGCCAGGCCGCAAAGGTTACCCAGAGGTCCTCCGTCCCCGTAATGTAGGAAAACTGTCCCAGGGTGAGTTCTACCAGTGCCAACGGGGAAACCTGGTTGCTACAGTGACACGGGATGTCAAGGTGGTTAGCTGCCTCTCCACCAACTCTGCTCCAGGGATTGTGGGTATAAGTCCAGGCAGGCAGCAGCGAGAGACAGACGGGGAGGGTGAAAGCGACAGCATGGAGAGCTCAGGTTTGTCTTTCGGCGTACCTCGACCTCTGCCCTTGCTGTTGTACCAGGAGAACATGAGGGGCGTTGACCTGTGTGACCAGCTGAGGGAGTGCTACCAGGTCGGCAGGCCCTGTAAGAAGTGGTGGCGCTACTTCCTGTGGTTCTACGTCAACCTGTGCATCGTCAACGCCTACATCATCCTGCGGGAGAGCCGAGGGGGAACGCCACCAGCAGGCTTCAACGGCAAGCAGTTCACCCAGCGTCACTTCCGGGTGCGCCTGGCGCAGCAGCTGATTGGGGACTACCAGGGGGCGAGAGGCATGGAGCGGGCAGCACGCAAGAGACACGCAGATTCACCCATAGAGTACGGACACCGCCTGGAGCGCATGTCAGAGCGCTCTCGCCGCTGCAGGAACTGCACCAACAAGGGACTGCGACATGAAAGTGTCTTTGGCTGCAAGATATGCAATGTCCACCTATGCAGGGGAGGATGCTTCTCTGAGTTTCATAAATAAATTTGAACTTTTGTTTTTATATCCTTTGTGTAATCAAACAACTTGTGTCAAGGGATTTTTTAAACAGTAAAAACTATTTGTAATTCCAAAGGTTACCACTACAAGTGCACAATATAGTCACACACTTTATGTAGAGCTAGTTTTAGGATAGAAGTATTATTGCACGTATAATAGAGAAAATAAATGGCGAAACTGTAGATTATTTGAATTAGTATAGAATGTTTTGGCAACTTGCCTTCTGTAACTGACAGAATTGCCTTGTGTCACTTTTTTATACGTTTAAAATAATGAGAAGGATTTTATATGAAAAAGAAGAAATTGACTTTTCTGCACTTACGATAGATCAGAAAATGTTTACTATGGGAAGTTTATCTCTCTGCTTTTCCAAAATAAAAACTTCATTATGATGTACTTAAGTGAATCACCTGTTTCTTTATGCGCCACTGAAGCCAAGAGGAAAAATAATGTTAATGAAATCTGAGCTTGAAATCAATCTACACTGCTTTGAAATAGGCTCAGTTTTGGACGCTCCTGTTCTTTCACATATATGAAAATCTGTGTCTCCGGTCCTTCAAGGGGACACAGCTTGGAGCAATTAGAGAGTAGAAAAAGCCCCTCAGTACTCTCCAGCCAGCGGACCTAGAGATGCCATTTCTTCCTCCAACCGCACTACAGACACAGCCATCTGTGGCTCTATTACACTGGGTCCAAACCCAGAAAGTAGTACTTGTTACTGACATGATTGGAAAACGGAAGAAAGATGGCAGAAACACTGGCAGAAGAATCTTAATGTCAGATTGTTCAGAGTAAGATGAGTGAGGACATTCATTTAAATCATGTAAATCGGCATGGACACAATTAGTTAAACGAGGGTGTGCTGGATCAAAGCGGTTCCTGCAATCCCAAGAGAAGAGGACAATTGAATTAGGAGATATTCGTGACTAGTGAAACACAATGTTGTGTGTTTTCGTCAAAGCTTTTCTGTCCATACTGGTATCAGACTTGCGAGCTAAAGGCTGTATGTAGGCAGAGATAGGCTGCTTCAGCGGGTCAGACTAGTCGTCTCCTGTGTCTCCTTCTGAGGTCTCTCTCTCTCTCCTCTCTCTCTCTCCCTCTTTAGCACACTGTCTATCTCTCTCTCTCTCTCTCTCTCTCTCTCCCCCCCTCCTCAGGCTCTTCTGTGCCATCCTACACATCCCCACACACACACACACACACACACACACACACACACACACCCTCCCTTCCCCTTCACTCCGCTCTCTTGCTCTCCCTCAGCCGTTCCCCAGCTGGGAGAGGGTTAGTCAACTGGACGGCCATCCCGCTGATCTGCAGGAGCCCCTTTGGGGAGTTACCATGGCAACCGTGGCTGATGAAGACAGGGAGTCGCCAGCAGGCCCGCATGGTTGTCATGGTACTCGCTCTGGCTACGGAGGTGGGAGGTGCCAGAGGCCACACCTCCTTACCCCTACTCCAAAACCAGGCAAGGCTGTGGTGTGTGTGTGTGTGTGTGTGTGTGTGTGTGTGTGTGTGTTGTGTGAAGGGAGCTGGCTGGTTGACAGCCTGCACACTGTACACGGAGCCAGACTGGTTACCAGGCAGGCTTTGCTACAGCATAGCCAAGACCACGACTGCTGCCAAAAATGAACTGAATGACATGAAACTGCTGCTCTGGAGACGTCTTTATGCAGGTGTAGGATTCAGGGATTAGAGGAATTTGTCACACCGTGTTCTGCATCATACCAAACCGCACTGAAAGTTTCTATTTTAGTTTATTGAAGAACATGAACCACACTGCTGCTTTGCAGATATCTTCATGCAGGTGTAGGAGGCACAATTAGCTAAATCGGCATTGTGTACTGTGCCACATAAAACCACACTGCAAACTTCTACTCCATTCTATTCAATCGTACAGCATTAAGACCCTGTATTTTCCATTTCACATTTTATATTGTGTCAGTGGCTGTCAGTCTTCCTCCCACAAAGTCATTATACTATCAAACTTATTACAGTTGCTTGCAATAATTGATACATTAAAAGCTGTTTTAAGGAATTTTTATATATTATTTGAATTACCTTTTATGTGTTTCCACTCAAATATGAATACATTTTCTAAGAAGCTCAAGTGACACATGATGACAAGTCAATTATAGCAGATGTGAGCTGGAATGGTTTAATTTTCCAGTTCCCACAATAGCAGCGCAGAGGACATGTACACCAGAACAGCGGAATGTGAAGCCCATGTTTGTCACTCCTGTGCTTAATGTTCAGAGTCGAACATTGTCAATTTTCTTCACCGTTTTGTGGTCTGAACGTGAAATCGTGAGGCCCTATTTGTGCATCAGAATCAAACACTGCTCTCTCCCTCTCTCTCCCTCCCTCTCTCTCTCTCTCTCTCTCTCTCTCTCTCTCTCTCTCTCTCTCTGAGTAGGTGGGTGTGCTGTATGTGGTGTCACAATAGCCAGATCTAATGTTTCCAGGATGAATCCCAACCATAAAATGCTCAGCTCTCAACATGTTTCCCCTCCTGGGCAGGGAGAGATCTCTGAGTCTCTGATCAACACCATGGGCCTGGTTTCACTTAGGAACCGCTGGTTGGGTAACACATGTACTGTTAGAATCATGAATGTCTCTTTGTTCAATACTTTCCTGTGTTGCAAAAAGAGTGCATGGACAAGGATGAGCGTGAGAATCCCCAAACATCTAATTCTCAGCTCTTAGTAATTCATTGTTTGTCTCCCCGCTGCGATGTATGACTGTTTATTCCCAGCAGTCATGATGGTGAATGAATTCTTAAATCTAAATTGTTCATATCTGTTAAAATGACTAGTTTACCACAACATCAAAATTCTACTTTTTACATCATAATGTAGTGGTGGACTAATGAAGTAAATTCATTATAATTCATATTATATGAGTATGAGTATTATATTTTATACCACTACTCAATAGTCCCAACAATTCAGAGAGAAATACTGTACTTTTGTGCACCACTACATGTGTGCTGTTACTTTTCCCAACACACATTTTTACATTTATATAGAAACGTACAAACGTATATAATAGATAGATAGCGAAAGATTAAACCAATGTTTTCCAACCATTTTAGGCTGTGACCCTTTACAAAAAACCTCTTGTCACATTTCAGATATCTAGAGTTCCAGTTCCACCAAAGAGACATTTCCCCTCTAAACCTCTCACATGGTTTTATTTAAATAAAGTGTTTGAGGCTCAAAGATGTAAAATTTGCCAATATAACACAAAAATGAAAACAGCTTTGTGTGGCAGAAGAACTTTGTTTAATAAACTACACTACTTGGTGTAAAATAGTTATACAGCTGCACATTTCAACCAGCTACAACAGTAAAATGCTATAAAGTAATGCCGACAGTATGCATTGATACATCAATATAAACAATCTCATAATGTAATAGATTATAATGTTAGTCACATTTTGATGAGAACTTTAGTTGATAATACTTAGATTGACTTAAATGCAGGACTTTTACTTATAATGGAGTATTTTTACATAAATGTATTGGTACTTCTACTCAAGTAAAAGAGTAAAGGGGTGGATTTAAGTACATACACTCAAATACACTAAAATTAATCAACTGTTAAGACTGGTAGACTACTTCGTGACACACATCTCCCTCTAGTGGACAAGAGAACACACAGTGAGCAAATTCCCGGGCACTTGAGGTTGCTTGGACTTCCCCAAGAAACATCCAGCAGCATCCTTCTAAGCAGGAAGCTTTCTAAACCAGATGGATCTCTTTGGTTTCTGTTGATGTGGTTTTGGTGAACCCAAGAGAACAACCACAGGAAGTCGGATCTCTGGGTCTCTTGCCAGAGGGACATCAAACGTGACCTGTTACCAAGGAAACACAACTTTTAAAACTGTTTTAGCTCATGCATACTTTATCTGAATATGAATTACTTCAGTTAATATAAATTCAATAATAGTTCTGTAAAGTGCATGCTAATGTTGATACAATATTTTATTATATTTTATCTCACTGGAATCTTATTCTCTTCTTTTCATTGTACTGACTCTGGCTCTCTGTCACTACACCAGTGTTTAATGAAAATACTAACCTAATCCCTTTGGAGCTGATGGTAGGACAGAACAGGTTGGGCTGTAATATGACACCTTTTCCTACATGTATCTTCACTAGTGTGTAGACACGCCACAAGGGCTGTTCCATTCCCTCTTTCTCCCTCTGTTTCTGCGTCATACTGCCACTGTGTGGTGCTGTTGTCTTTGTGCGTGCTCCTTTTCAGTTTGACAAAAGGTTAACAGATGTGTTTTAGCAACCACCCCGTATCCAAGCCAAGGGTATTTTTCAAACAGCAAATCATCAATGGCATCTTAAAATGACCCTGAAGTCAAAAGGAGTTTTTCACGGTGCAATGACTCATCGTTTTTATGAAGAAATAAGAAAACTAAAACCAGATGTCACATGTTTAGGGTGTGGACATTTGCATTGCTCCATATTGAATTAAATTAATCCCCATTACACTGTGTTTATGAACACAGTATAAATACCTTGACTCTGTACTCGAGCTTCATCATGCAGCAGTTGAAGAAGGTAGGCGGGAGCTGTGGAGGGATGCTCAGAACTTTGGTTATAGTCCGACTGGTTTTAGCTGGAACCGAGTCTCCTGTCCCAAACAGGATGTCATTTGTGTGTACTATCCTCTTTGACTGAGCAGCAAAGGTCTGCTTCTCACACAGGTAGAATTTGGGTGTTACTGTGCGTGTGGATTCATTGAGTACTTCCACAGAGACTCCCATCGCCTCACCTATTATTTTAAGGAGGGAAAACACAGATCATTAATGTTTCTGTTGAGGCCATTCAGAAAAACATACTGAGTGAAATCAGCTTACCTTGCTTTACTCCCATTTTTTCAGAGGTAACATTCATAGTAACCTTTTCAAAGCCATAAAATGAAATCCTGGTCGCGTATTGTTGCTCCTACCGAATGAAGACATAAGCTGTCAGGGAGTAAAATCTTTAAATACCAGTTTGAGTCGGCATTAGCAGATCATTATAATGTTTGATACTGTTGACTGAGCTATAGGGATTACACACTTGACTGGAAAAACAAGTGGAAACTAAAAGAAAACCTGATTCAGTTACAATGGAAAATCATTTCCATACCTTAAGTCCGATGATTATCATGTCTGATTTGGAGGCAAAGGGGAACTCAGACTTGGTCAGGAAAGGGAACTCAGTCTTTGTTTTGTGGACAAGCCAGATTGACTGAGTCAGCTGTGCTCGCAAACTATATGTAATTTTGCCCCATTTCCCCTCATAAGATGAAGGCATATCTCTGTAAGGAAATATTTGAAATTAACAACATTATTTACCTTATTCACCTGCTGGAAGGGTTTATAATATACAAATTCTATGTACTGTGAAGAAGAATTACGTTAGAGAAGCAAACGTACACATTTGGAATCGCAAAGGTAAATGGATACACATTTCTCCCGGGGCTGATGATTTCTGAACCTTGTAAAAAGAAAATAAAAAGGACAATTTTAAATGTACATTAATCAACTTCACATCACCTTCAAGCTATTTCATTCTTTTTTTAAATTTGGCTTAAGAGAGAAACAATACGAACCATCTCCTTTGTTTTTGTCCTGAAGAATAATATGTTCAAAATAAAAGTATTTCTTCTTGTCGCTGTGAACCCCTGTGGCTTGTCCTTCCTGTTCATACCATGTCACCTTAGCTTTTCCTTTGGCTTTGACCAAAAAACACTGCACTTTGGTTTCCCCGCTGGTCACCACTGTCACCCTTCCTGAGAGGATGTCCCCAGGAGAGAAAGTACCTCGATCATTCACCTTGTTGTACTCCACTGAGAAATGTTTAACAGTCATGGTAAGACTACATCAAATAACCTTCCCAAAGGTTGGGGAGAGAAAGCACGATCCTCCTTGTATGAATTTACTGGAAGCAGGTTTGAACTGATCCACGGTGGTATTGAAGCGGGGCCTTTCGCCTTACAAAGATCAAGGCTGGCATATGCACTGTAGCAGCGGACCTCTCCAGAACCTGTATCTGTGTCACACATGATCACATGATCAAGAGCTGCAGGTGTCACTTTCACACAGGTAACTCTAGCCAGCAGCCCTGCAGGCTAAATTAGGCAAATGAATTTAAATTGACATTATGAATGTACTAAGGTAAAATGTTATAGCAGGATGCTATATGTGTGCAAATGCATTGGTGTTCCTCAGTGAATACTATTGAAACAAAGGTCAAAACCAAAATACAGCACTGCAAAATGAGCATACTTTATCTATAACATTATGTTTACAAAATTATATACCACTGTATAATGTGACTGCTAATGTGAATGAGTGGAATAATACAGAACCTACTATATTAATGATTCATGCAGTCATTAAGCATCAAGAGCCTTGATACATTTGTGCTCCAGAAGGTATACCTCTCCATAGAAGATGGTTCAGCATTCATAAAAGAATCACTACAGGTTGTTTTATTCAAGAGTTTTGATCAAAGAAACATCAAAAACAACTTGGCAACAAAGCAAAATGACATTGCGCCTGTTTTAAGGGTGGCCTAGTGATAACAGATTCAGAGTCAGTTCACGTTCCACAGCGTTTTTGTTCATAAGATAGTGCTGTTTACCTTCAGCCTGTACTCTAGCTTGATGATGGAGCAGTTTAGGATGGAGAGCAACTGTTCTCTAATGGTTGCTGGGACTAGGAGGGACTCACCTGCAAAAGGGAGACAAGAAAGGAAATCCATTTTTAAAACTGAATCAGTAGTTTATAGCAACATCACTGCTGCCTTTACCAATGTGAAATGGATTTTGACCTTTAGACGTCTTTACACTGAAAATATGTCGAGTATGTGCTATGTAATTGGAGTTACGTAAGTTTGAGAGCAAATAGAAATATATGCAAATTAAACATCAAGCTAAAGTAAAAATCACCTGTCAGGAAACTTAAACCAAGTGCTATGGAAATAAGAAAATGGATTATAGATTCCTTAGAGACCACCACGATGATTCTTCCATTAATGTTATCTCAACTTGTGAAGGTGTTTCTGCTGTTGATGGCATCATATTCAACTGAGACAACTTTGATGGTCATTTTACACAGAAAAATACACAGTGGAAAATAAAAATCTCATGTGAATCAAACAGCTGCTCAGCTCCATGCATGCAAATCTTGTTAAACCTGTGATTCTTACCTGTGGCCACAGGCGAGACACACGTCAGACAAACAGTGAAAGGAAAGAAAACATTCAGCCCTGCAAACTCATCACAGCTCACAAAAAAATATACATATACATTAGTTTGCTTCCTTAGTTGAGCTCAGCCTTGTATTTGTTGCTACCAGGATGCAGCTGTGGTAGCAACAAGAGAGAGAATTATTTTTGAATTAACAAATATATTAAATGGATATGTGCACAATGGAGATCAAAAATGAGTTGCAAGGATTTTGCACTGAAATGACAGCTGACAGCAACAGAGAAGGAGAACAGATTTAAAGTTGGACAGCGGCAGCGTGATTGGCTGAAGGGGAGATACATATCTGATTAGAAAGGAGAGTGTGAATGAATGAGGCATAATGAGAAGGTCGTCCTGACTGAACTTACGCTGAACTTTATTATGTGGTCAAGTTGAACCACCATGCCCAGAAGGGAGTTTTGCTGCTACCGTATAAATGTTGCAGTCTACAATTTCACCACTAGGTGGCAATAAATCCTACACACTGGTCCTTTAAGTTTTTTATTTGGCACATGCACACAGTCACAGTGAAACAGTTGTTGGCAGTGTTATCCTTGCTCTCAGGCTCCCTCCAACAATGCTCTGACAACAACAAAAGTCACAAAAGTAAAATGAGAAGCGAGCAAAAGAAAATCTAAGTCAAAGACAGCCCCCAGGTTTATGACAAGGAAGAAGAATGCATAGAATAAAAAAGATTATTATACCTTTTTTATATATATCTTTCGTCAATGTTCAGGAGTGCAATGCTAAATCTGTGGCATATTTATAGTGCACTGTGATATTTGTCAGACTCAATAAAGGTGGGATACATTGCATATGTCGCATAGGTGGGTGGGGCCTCCACAGGTAGGGGTGCTGCATGTTGTTGGGGTATTGTTAGTCGTTGGGGTGCTGTGTTCCGGGGTGCTTCCTTTGGGCTCGCAAATGCTTCAAATCCAAAGTCATCAGAAGCCGGTGGTTGTTTCTTAGCAGGAACCTCAGAGGCAGGAAGGATGACTATAGGGAGTTTGATCTCCGGGTCTGAAGCACATTTGACATCCAGATGGACCTGTGGAAGAACATTGTTGATGTTATATTGTTGGATTTAGGTAGGTTGTAGGTTTTCTCTCTCTTAACTTGAGTTGAGTTCACTAGTGTTCATTAGAGTTTAGAGCCTTTTTACAAGTTTCTTTTGTTACGTTTAGTATTTGCTGGGCTAGTTTACTAACAGTCAGTGAGAAAAATGTTCCCATTGCCCTTGTTTATATATATTATTATATATTTCTAGAAAGTATTTGTTTATAATATCGGTTGTTGATTTTTACAAAACTCAAAAGTGAAACTTCATTTACTAACTAAAAGTACAAATAAGACACAAACTAGCTGACCATCAACTTTACCTTCAGCCTGTATTCCAGCTTGATGATGGAGCAGTTCAAGATGGAGGGAGGTAGTTCCCTGGGGATGTTGATCACCTTGGTCACAGTCTCTTTGCCAGAGGATTCGACAGCCTCAAACTTCTCCTTAAGGATCTCATTTGTGCAAACTCTCCTGCGACCCTGCGCAAAGAAACTCTTCTTCTCATACAGTATGAATTTGGGCTTCACTGAACGAGATGAGCAGTTGTTGATTTCAGCTGTGACTTGGAAAGCCTCACCTGGAAAATGGAGAGAAGAAAGTTTGTCAATTTCTAAACCCAGTCAGTAGTTGATAGCTGATTATGATTGTGTAAGAGGATCATGTGTATGCAGTTTCTCTGTGATACACAGTAGGCTGATCAGTGGCCAAAGGGACACAAAAAAGTGCAACAGTATATTTTTACCAAAGACACAAAGAAATAAATAATTGAGCATTAGGTAGTAATAGAACAACACTAATGGTGTGGGTGTACATGTCACCCAGTAAGTATCAACAAATAATAGTACAGCAATACCAAAGCAGCTTTGAGCTAATTTAGAAACATATTTTGTCCAATAGTTTGATGAGTGGATTTTCCAAAATGTAAAATGCACATTATGTGTTTTTTTCTTTTTTTTTTTTAACCTATGGGATCCATTTAAAATTGTTTTCTTTATGTGTGTATATCAAAAAAATATATAATAATCCAACAGCACTGTCAGTCGGGCTATAGTAAATATTAAACTAAAGTCTAATATAATCTTATCAAATCTGCTAAAAACCTGTTAGTATAATCATTAAAACCATAAATATACTGCCTCATATGATGCCACTCAGTCTGTAATGTTGTATGTCACACAGGTTTTGCCCTCTTACACTGACACTTTAATAGTTTTCTATCTAAGTATTATATTCTATCTATTTCATTTTATCTAAGTATTTTATTCTATTGTATTTTATTGTATTTTAATGTACCTGGCTGCTATGACGACCCAATTCCCCTCCGGGGATTAAAGGGGAATTTGGCAACTATTTCAACTTAATAAACCCATTTAAAAATCATTTGGATGGTTAAATGGCCTGTTCCGGTGTTAATGGTGACTTTCCCCGCTCCCCCTAGCATCCCCAGGCGGAAAACCAACCTTGCAACTTTGGGACTACTGTCCCGTTAAGTTGGAAATAGTAAGTATCGTGAGAAGCAAGAACGAGCGAGAAACACAAACTGCTTTACGGCAATTCCACATAAACGCAATGTTCTATGATACTGTGTGTAATGTATTACCCACCTCGGTGGACATTGCTCCACACGAAAAAGTTGCCCGGCAACAAATGCACATCAGCAGCGATAGAAAGGGGGAGCAGGGTGCCGCAAGTGAGTTTTTTTACGACAGTTGTGTTAAATTATACGTCTGTAGGGGGCAGCTCGTTGAGAAAACATGCAACGACAAAAGTGAAAACCAGCGAAGAAATGGCTAGAGTTGCCAAGTTCCCCTTTAATAAAGTCTATCTATCTATCTATCTATCGATCTATCGATCTATCGATCTATCTATCTATCTAACAGTGATTCCACAAACTGAAAAAAGGGACTTAAAGTAAAAACATCTACAATCCCTCCCCACTGTTCCAACAGAGTGATCCCTTAAGGTCCAGCTTCATCAGCATCAGCTTCAAATGGGTGGACAGGTGGGCTGAGGCAAAAAATATGGAGCAAAGGAATAAGGAAATGTTGATTTATGGACACTAACATCCTGGTGCTGATTGGTATGTTTATGTTAAGGTGGAAAATACAATTTCCTCCTTCCAGATTAACACATGCACCAAAGCAAATATTTGTTGTTGGACCTGTATTAAGCCTCCCCACACCTCACACTCTTTGTGCTTTTGGTATGTACTATGTTCAAGTTCCCAACAAGTCCAATGTACGCCTCCTGGTAATCTAGCTGTCTTTCAAGAGAAAGTTTTGCAGTGTCATCTTTCTATTATGCTAGAGCATCAACAAATGAGGGTTTTCTTCTGCCAGTACCAAGTCATTCCCATGATTCCACTCCAGAGAGTTCACAAAAACATTTCTTCATGACACAGTGGGTTAGTTACGTAGGTCCTAAATTTTCATTTTCATGTTTCCAGTGGCTGAACAAGTATTAGGCAAGGAATCAAAATCCCTCTGGATTCTTACCTTGTTTGTATCCCATCTGCTTGGTGTGAACATCCATTGAAATGGTTCCAGAGCCAAAAAGTTTGAGAGATTTGTCCTTGCAACTGTACTGAGGTTCCTAAAAGAACAGACCCCCACCTTAAATTCACAAGTTCTACTCTGCTTAGACAACATTCATTATTAATTCATCACGCTAAGAGAACAAAAACATAGTGATTCAGATTTTCCGGTGATTATGCACTAATGAAAACATACCTAGGAATATTATATATGAATATAATATTAATGTTACACACTGGACCTTTAAATGGTTGCATTTTTAAGGGAGAATATTTCGTACCATAAGTCCAGGAATATCCATGTCTGCTTTGGACTCAAATGTGAAGTGGACTTTGGCCTTTTTTGTCAGCTTCATCGATTGTTTCAGCTCTGCCTTCAACTTATGAACAATTTTCCCTATGGAGGCTGTGAAAGATGATGGGATTTTTCTGTAAAGTACACAATACATTTTATTTAACTTAAGTAAACCATCAATCTAAAATAAAGATTGAGTAAAGTATAGTTACCTGTCAGGAATCTTGAAGGAAAAAGGAAATACATGTCTTCCTTTACCAAGGACTTCAGTTCCTGGAACAGAATTAAGTATTATATATCTTTAAACAGCATGTTTATAATGGTTATTATTGATTGCATTAGTTAGAATGTATCGCATATCAATGGCTGTATTAATTAAAAATGTTACCATCTTGTCTTGCCTCTCTCAAGATGTGGTGTTTTACATCATAATATTTCTCATCAGCCCAGTACACGCGATGTTGATTTTGCCCGTAATGTTCAGTCCAACGAACTCGAGCTATTCCTTGTCCAATGAAAATAAGCGACTGGATTCTACTCTCCTTAGAAACCTCCACAATGACTCTTCCATTAATGGTATCTCCATTTGAGAAGGTGTTTGTGCTGTTGATGGCATCATATTCAATTGAGAAATTTGTGATGGTCATTTTCCACAGAGATGTACACAGTGGAAATAAAAATCCACTGTGACTCCAAGAAGAGACGCAAGCCTTATAAACCCTGAACAGCTCCTCAGCACTATTTATATATCTCAAGCATGCAAATCTTGTTAGACCTGTTATTCCTACCTGTGGTCACAGGTGAGAGACACACGTGCACAAAAAGAGGCCCGAAAAAGTACTCAGCCCTGATGAGTCACCACAGTTTACTAAAAAATGAAAAACATCTTGCTTAAATTGCAACTTGATGGTCCTAGTTAAAGCAATTCATCATTGGAGAAGATTCACAATGAAATAAAAACCTTTATGATTAAAAAAAAAATACACAAATAACAATGATAAAAGAACATTTTGAAATATGTCATATTATTTCACAATTTCAGGTTCATTTATATATTATGTACCATTTATTTCTGTGAAGACTTATTTCTTTCATTATCATTTAATATTAAACACTTTGGGTCTTTATAAGAATTGTATCCAGTTATTATTTACAATAACCACAACTACTTTAGATAGTTATGTACTATTTTTCATGGACATTAATAAGTACAATAGTTGTAGTGAGTAGTTAAGTGTGTTTTTCTCGCTGCCAGGATGCAGCTGTGATGCAATGCCTTAATCTTCAGTTTTAAGACAGTAAGTGGAAGGTGAGGGATCAAAGTTTGGAATTGGTAAGTAGTTTGAAAATGAAAAAGAATCTGAGGATTCTTAGAAATAGAATTTCTAAGAAATATGTGAGGATACGAGACCTCTGTAACCCGCTCCTCATCTGTGCTTGAGGTTAGTGGCTCAAGGCTACATTAGCCAATAGTAACATAACTCAACCAGTCACGTTGCATCATGTAAGTTTAAAGGTCCAGTGAGTAACATTTAGGAGGATCTATTTGTAGAACCTGGTATGTTTTCAATAGTGTAAAATCAGCTGAAAATAAGAATTGTCTTTTTTTACTTTATAAGGAGGCACTTTTATGTGCAGTGGGTGCAGGTCTTCTTCTATGGAGTCCACCATACAGTAGCCCAAAACAGACATAATACTGCCTCTAGATAGGGCCTTTTATGTTTTTCATGAGTTCACAGTTCACAGTTCGTGATTTCTCCTACATGCTTGGAAGGCGAGTGGTATTTAGCAAATGTTGCAATCTGCAATTTTACTGCCAGATGTCAATAAATCCTACACATTGGTCCTTTAAGTTTTTTATAAGTCATATGCACACAATCACAGTGAAACAGTTGTTGGCACAGAAATTCTTGCTCTCAGGCTCCCCCCAACAATGCTCTTACAATATATACAAAAGAAAATCACACAAGTAAAATGAGAGGAGAGTAAAAGAGAATCTATGTCAAAGACAGCCCTCAGGTTTATGACAAGGAAGAAGAAGGGACGTACAGTGGCTCGCCTGATGGAGCATGCATCCTATGTGGGCTGAGTCCTTGCCAAAGTGGCCTGGGTTTGGTTCTGACCTGCTGCCCTTTGCTGCGTGTGGTCCCCAATCTCTCTATAGCCCCTTTCCTGTCTATCTTCAGCTGCCCTATCAAATAAAGGCATAAAAAGCCCAAAGGAAGGAAGAAGACTGCATGGAATATCTCCGGTTCTACTTTAACGATTTAAAAAAATAGACTTTTTTAACCATCCATTGTGAGTCTGACAGTGTTTCAGGAGTGCAATGCTAAATCTGTGGCATATTTATAGCGCACTGAGATGTTTGTCAGAAACAGAAAATGTGGGATACATTGCATATGCTGCATAGGCGGGTGGGGCATCCTCAGGTTGGGGTGCTGCTTGTTGTTGAAGTGTTGCTTGTTGCTGAGGTGTTGTGTTCCAGGCTGCTTCATTTGGGCTTCTAAATCCAAAGCTATCAGAAGCAGGTACCTCAGAGGCAGGAAGGATGACAATAGGGAGTTTGATCTCTGGGTCTGAAGCACATTTGATATTCAGATGGACCTGTGGAAGAACATTGTTGACAATTATTTACATTGTTTGCGCACAATGAAAGAGGGATGGCTCCAGATAATGGTTGGTATTCATAACTGGAAGGTTTTTGTACTAACTAAACCTAATTCAGTAACTTAAAGCACAAATAAGACACTTTAAAGAATGAAAACAGGAACACAGACTCATCACTCAAGCCTCCAACCAGTAGCTAATCTAACAAGCTGTAATCGAGACTATCAACACAAGAATGTCTCAGAAACAGGAAATGAAGGATTACTTTCCACAAACTAGCTGACTATCAACTTTACCTTCAGCCTGTATTCCAGCTTGATGATGGAGCAGTTCAAGATGGAGGGAGGTAGTTCCCTGGGGATGTTGATCACCTTGGTCACAGTCTCTTTGCCAGAGGATTCGACAGCCTCAAACTTCTCCTTAAGGATCTCATTGATGCAGAGTTTCCTATGACCCTGAGCAAAGTAACTCTTCTTCTCATACAGTATGAATTTGGGCTTCACTGAACGAGATGAGCGGTTGTTGATTTTAGCTGTGACTTGGAAAGCCTCACCTAGAAAATGGAGAAAAGAAAGTTTGTCAATCTCTAAACCCAGTCAGTAGTTGATAGTGGTTATGATTGTGTAAGAGGATCATGTGTGTGCAGTTTCTGTATGATACACAGTAGGCTGATCAGTGGCCAAAGTAACAGTATATTTTCACCAAAGACACAAAATAAATACATTATTAAGCATTAGGTAGTCATTTAATACCAGGCTGACATACCGAACATCACTGCTGGGTATGGGAGGGTGTGGTGAGCAAATAACAGAAGTGTGTCATATGACTGAATAAGTAAGGGCAGTTAATCAAAATCTCTCTGGTTCCCTCTACCAGATTAGATTATTACCTTGCTTGTATCCCATCTGCTTGGTGTGAACATTCACTGAAACGTTTCCAGAGCCAAGGAAATTGACAGATTTATCCTTGCAACCATACTGAGGTTCCTAATCAGAATCAGAATCAGAACCAGAAATACTTTGTTTGTTACAGTTGTTCAAGGTGTTCACAATGTTGAAGAATAGAATTAATACTTATATTACAATCTAACACAATATATATAGAATATAAATGTATATATAGGTGTATACATATAAGTAAAAAATAAAAATGGAAATGGAAATATAATAAGAGCCAATATACCTTATAGTAATAATAATAAAATATATACAATATATGCTATATATAGAAATATATTCTACTTAGACAACATTTATTATTAAATAGTGTAATTTTAAAGATGATGATTTCGTACCATAAGTCCAGGAATATCCATGTCTGCTTTGGATATGAATGTGAAGTGGATTTTGGCCTTTTTTGTCCGCTTCATTGATTGTTTCAGCTCTGCCTTCAACTTGTGAACAATTTTGCCTACGGAGGTTTTGAATGATGATGGCATTGTTCTGAGTACAATAATAGAAAATTAACATCTTGAAGTACAAGATCAATCTAAAATAAGCATAATAAGTAAGAAAAGTATAGGTACCTGTCAGGAATCTTGAAGGAAAAAGGAAATACATGTCTTCCTTTACCAATGACGGTGCCTGGAACAGAATTAATTATAAATCTTTAAACAGCATGTTAATAATGGTTCATTATCAATGTCATTGCCTTAGTTACAATGTATCACATATCAATGGTTGTATTAATGAAAAATGTTACCATCTTCATTTGCATCTCTCAAGATATGATGTTTGACATTATAATATTTCTCGTCAGCCCAGTACACACAATGTGCATATTGCCCGTAATGTTCACTCCAGCAAACCCGGGCTTTTCCTTGTCCAATGAAAATAAGCGAATGGATTCTACTCTCCTTAGAAACCTCCACAATGATTCTTCCATTAATGGTATCTCCATTTGTGAAGGTGTTCAGGCTGTTGATGGCATCATATTCAATTGAGAAATTTTTGATGGTCATTTTCCACAGAGAAATACACAGTGGAAAATCTAAATCTCTGTTGTAACCATGAGGAAACTCAAGCCTTTTAAACCTGAATAGCTGCTCGCCACCGTTTATGTATCTCCAGCATGCACATCTTGTTAAACCTGTTTTCCTAATGCAAATCTGCACACCATTCATTTTCATTCGTGCATTCAACAAACAGAGGCGTGACATAATGCTGCTGATTTTATCCAAAAATGTAATTTTAAGTATTTCGGACATCAAAAATGTACTTTCATTGTATTTGGGTGGCAGCAATAGGCAGATATAAATTTGTCTGGCCAACTGTTATAACTGTTTAATTAAGTTTTAAATCTGTTATATGCTAGCCCTTCGAAATATTTGAATTGACGTCACCGCTCATGTGAATCAAGCCTCTATGTATACAAGTGCTGTTTAGTATGATATAATTTCTGGGCAAAAGCAAGGATGTGGTTTATTTCCAAAGCATTTCATGTTTACAGAGTTTGTGCCATGTTCATTCTTTTGAAAATCATTCTTAACACAAATAAAAAGAAACTAGACGTTTTCTGTTGCTTTAAACCATAGATGGAAAATGTGAGTGTGACTTTTACCTACTGCTAGTTCTTTCAGCATGCAACTACAAACCGGTTTAAACTACAATGTTTACCAGTTCAACATTTCCTCTATGTACTCACACAGTCAGAAGACAAAACAAGAGCAAGTACTGAATTATCAGACACTTAAAAAAGAGGCTGTACACGGTTTGAGGTATATTCTAAGGCCACAGAAGAGTTCAGTGAAAACAGAGCAGAGAACGGTTAACCAACAATGACATCACCAAGGTTATTCGTTCAGACTTTAGAAACACACTCAGGTCTTTTTAATGACAGTGTGAACAGCACAAATCACATGGAATCTGATCTTTTCAATTCTGATTTGAGCCACTCTTGCAATATGAATATCAAAATGTATGTGACTTTTACATCATTCTAGAGTGACATTTGTCAAGTGGGTCTCTTCAAACTGGAATTTGATATTGGCCACATTAAAAAAAAAATCCTGTGGCCTTCTTTCTCCCTAAGTTAATCTGAGCCTCACAGAATCACAAACAGGGCAAAATCCTACAACTTAGGAGGGATGAAGACACAGGTCCCTGAACTCATACAAGGATCAGAAAAAAACACAGCAAAACAAACATGTTTCTTGCACCGACACTGGTGATATGTCAACACTGGAAAATATACTACTGACTACTGTCCAATACATAACACTAACACTACCCTGTATACAGGACAAAGTAACTATGTAACACAGGGCATATATAGTGGTGGTTTTACTCTGACCAGAGGGTTCGATAACAAAAACCTTGCTTTTTCAATTAAATATTGTAGCTGTAACCAAAAAAATACAGATGCATAAAAAACAAAACCCAGGATAGCCAAGTGTCTGTCCAGCTATCCTCACAGGCCTGTCACTAATATTTTTTGCCAAAATCTGTCAAAGGAGGGTACATTCCATATGCTCCATAAGGAGGTGGGGCATCCAAAGGTTGAGGTGCTGTTGGTGGTTGCAGTGGTACGCCCCATGCTGGTGGGTTTGTGTTCCCAAATGGTTCAAATCCAAAGTCAGAAGCAGCAGGTGGTGGTGCCATACCAGGAACCTGAGTGGCCGGCAGGATGACTATGGGAAATTTGATTTCTGGGTCTGAAGCATATTTGACATCGAGGTAGACCTGTGGAAAACATTGTTGATGTTATATTGTTGGATTTTATTTGTTCTTCTTTATATTACCAGAATTATACTACAGTTTTACATACAGTCACATTTATTAACATTCTATGTGCATAACCAACTAATTTAAAAAAACAACATTAACAACTAGAGAATGAATTGCTGTCTTTGAAACAGTTTGAATGATGAATAAGATCTGTTTAACAGGTGACACTACGCTGAATTGCTGGCTCTAAAAGTTAAATAATATTAATGTAAAAATGTATTAATAAAAAGGTGGAAGATTTGAAGGTGTGTTAAAGAGCTGTCAATATACTGAATCGCTGGCTTTAATTTTTTGGAAGTAACTGAAGGAGTATTGTAGTTGGAAAGGGGCTAATTACTTTGAATGGGACTAAAAACTTGAATATATCATATAGGTTTAATATGGTTTCCAACTGATTGATTAGACATAAGTTGAAAAAGTGTAGCAATGAGTTTGAATACAATGAAACATAGAGGTAGACAAGTGAGAATCAAATTGCTTTGAAAGTTGAATGTTATAATATATGAATGAATATTAGAAAATTTAAAGAATACTTCAAAATCTGTCTGTCTGTGTCTGTCTGACTGTCTGTCCATCTGTCAATCTCTTTGCTCATCTCAATCAGCTGTGTGTTGCCATGGTGATGCTGCCTGCTCCTGTATGTCTCCCGCCTGAGAGGCTTCATTAGATAGAGATTTTAGCTGAGGTGCACCACTCATGTTTGTGTTTCTATGGCCCAGACCATAACTCCTATCACCAAAATATGGATAATATCGGTCAGAAGAGAGCCTGCTGACCACATGTGATAAGATTTGAGTCTATAGAGTCCAAAATGTGACCCACTAGCTGTTGGAAGAACTGGCTGCTTCTGCTACACTCCTGGAATTTCTTCCTTTCTCCTATTTATAATGGAAGTAAATGAGGCAGTTGGTCCGGGCTCTTGTCGCTTGGAAGCTCATAAAGACGAACCCATAAGTCAGTTTGCTTCCACAGTCACATGTCTGCGACCAGCACAAGTTTTCCTACACTTTGATGTACAAATCATGTATGTGGAGTGAAAAATTTAAGACACAATTTTTATACGATTTTGAATCTTCTGTCCACTCTAGTTATAATGTCCCCCACTCTAGCTCTGAACATTCAGTGCAATACACACTATACTAATGGAAAAATCGCAGAAGGGCTGAAATTTTCATGAAGTTTGAACTGAGACTGTGGCTAAAACTATCAAAAGGTAAGAAAAAGCTGAATTAATGCCAGAAAGTCCAGCTTGTCGTGAATGGACTTTGTGTGTGAATGTATGAATTCAAGGATTTTCTAATTGACTTCTATCGTAATTCCATTCGTAAAAATGTTTTTTGTTTTATTGGGATTTGAACGTCAAATAATAGCTAAAATGTTGGAAAGATGTGGAACATTTCTGTGTTTTAATGGAGTTTATGGAGTAAACCCAGAAACTGGGAATTATCCATAAGGAATGAATGGGGGGAAAACATCTGAAAAATTTGAATATTTTAGCAAGTATGAAAAGGTATTAATGAGAAATAGAGCCTACTTGACCTACTTGAGCTGAATGTTTTGATGTTTGAATTAAGTTTCTACGTTAAAAAAGTAGTAGTTAAACGCAGAAAAAACATGACAGGGAAAAAAAGTAGAAGGACATATGGTTGCTGACTCAGCATCCACACCCAATGAGAGAGTTACGGGTTCAAAAGCCTTCTGGTTCTGCAAAGTGCAGCTGTAGGGTACTAAACAGAAGTCAGGATGTGTGTAAAAACACTGACACTGAGGAAGCGTGCTATTTTACTGTGCTGCAAAGTCAGGAAGCAGAGAACTAGGAGACACTCATCTACATAAAGAGACATAACAATATAACCCAATAACCCAATATCCTTTCATGTTTGTCTTGACTTCCCCACAATGTCAATAAACCCCTTTTCAGGAGACCTGATTTTTTTGTGCATAAGTAACAATGGACACATGCTTACCCTGAGTCTGTACTCCGCTTTGATGATGTTGCAGTTGTGGATGGAGGGCTCCATATCATGGGGGATGGTGATGACTCTTGTGACTTTTTCATTAGCAGAAGGAGGGATGGTCTCTCCCACTTCCTTTAAGAGGTCTTTAGTGTGGACTCTTCTCTTCCCTCTTGCAAAGAAGCTGTGCTTTCTGTACACACAGTACTTGGGCTTGATCTCACGGGACGAGTTGTTCTCAATGCAGGCCAGAATTTTTAAATCCTCTCCTGCAAAACCGACCAGGAATGTCAAAACAACCCTTACAAGATGAGTAAGTGTCAATATCAATTTTAGGGGCTCTCACCTTGGAAGAAGCCTGTTTTTTCAAGATTCACATCCATGGCTACTGTTCCTGAGGTGAAGACTTTCATTTTCTTATCCTTAGACTCGTGCTGTGGTGTCTGAAAGAAGACCAGATTAATTATAATGCAGTACACTTAAACAACAACAGAGTGAAAAAGATGCCTAATTAATTCAAGTTCCTGATGTGGTAACTGAGCCAATTCAAAGGGTGTATTGCTGATTTGATTTTTTATCAATTTCAATTTACAGCAACAGCAACATTGAACCGGTTGTGTACATTTTCAAACCTGTGTTTATACAGTGTGGGTTTGCTGAATGCAAATGAATGCAAAAACTCTCTCCTCGAGGCATATGGAGTTTAAACACTCCTTGCAGGTACTTCAGAAAGGCTGTATTTTGGTCATGCGACTGCTATCACCAGCCCACACAGATGTTTTTCCCTGTTGGAATGCCAGGAATGAAGATGTAACTCAGCCCATACCATTAGCCCAGTGTCACAGCTCAGGTCTGCTTTCGTCACAAAGTTGATCTTCGTTGAATCTTTCTTGTCGATCCTCATTGATCTGCTCAGCCTGGCCTCCAGTGAGTACACGATTTTACCAACAGAACCCGTGAAGGAGGAGGGCATACTCCTAAAGCACAAGAGCAGAGGGCAAGAACAACACAAGGAACTGACTGGACATTTTCATTTTTTTTGTTATGCATTGCACATACTCAAAAGCAAACACTCAAATAATTATACAGTTGGTTGATAAAAGAACACAGCCTAATTTAAACAGTTCTACAAAAATAAACTACAGTTGCAAAACCAGAGGATGATCTATTAAGATGTAAGTGGATCTATCATTATTTTACTGTTTAGAAATCTAAGTCTGGAGAGGATATGGGTTTATCAAACTCATTATGGAACCATTAAAAGAGTGATTACTTACTGGAACGGGATCTGAAAGTTGAATGGGTAAACATGGCATCCTGGGGCAACGACACTGCTGTCTGGAAAGCAACAGGAAACTATTGGTAGCTGTTGGTGGTTTTACAACCACTGCAACGAGCTTTTTGCATGTAAGGGCCTCACCACAGACAGAATTGTGAAATACTTACATGTTTCTCCATTCTGGCTTGTCAGTAGTGTTTGGTTGTCATCTCCTGGAGAAAAATCAACACACTGAATTAACAACTATTAAACATTTGTTACTTGGGCTATTAAACGTTTGGTCTAAAAATTGTGAAAATTGCAATTTTTAAAGCTTAGTATCACATTAGACAAACCACAAGAACACTCGAGAGAGCGCAGACACCTACAGTCACCGCTGAGGTGTTTTGTTTTCACAGCCGGTATGTTTTCCTGTATGTTCACACCCCAAAACTTAATGTGTTCCTGTTTGGCACTGCTTTCACCAAGCTTCATTCAATTCAGTTTTTTCATAATCCTGCTGACAAACAGTACCGAAAACATCTACTAACTAATAAAAGCAATATCACTTCTCACAATTGAGTAGCGGGAACAGACAATAGATAATCTTTGGCACTTGCATGACAAATGACAACTAATTGATTATCAGAATCAGTTTGTGATTCATTTCCTGTTGATTTACCAATCAGTTAAAATGCTGATTATCTTACTCTAATCATTTATTTTACAAGCATGCAGCAGATAAAGCAACACTTCGGTTTTCATTTGGCAAGCCTCCTCCACACGTGGCTCACCTGCCGCTGTGAAAGAAATACTAAACGTGAGCTATGTTTCTAGGGCGACTATATAAAATATATAGATACTGCTGACCACGAAAGGTCAACAGAGCAGAAACACTGGTCTATAGCCTGTTTGATATATGGAGAGTGAAGCAGGCAGAGGCAGGGCAGAGCAAGCTGGTTTGTGTGTGTGTGTGTGTGTGTGCGTGTGGTGTGTGTGTGTGTGTGTGTGTGTGTGTGTGTGTGTGTGTGTGTAAAAGAGAAGGGGAAAAGCAGATTTAAATATTTCTAAGGTGGAGAGTTAAGCAGAACTAAAATGGTTAGATAGGAAATGACCTAGGCTACTAGTAGAGTTGGGAGGGGTTACTTTAAAAAAGTAATCCGATACAGTTACTAATTACCTGCTCAAACTGTAGTCATTAACCTAATCCAAGTATCACAATATTACAGGAAGGTAACAGGATACTTTCTGTTACACCAAATATGTGAATAAAAACAAGAGAAAAAAAAGAAAATTTAAATAAGAAATTGATGCAAGTGTGTTCTAAAAGACAACAAACCCATGTGACCTTTGAAAAGGTGGAAATGGAAATGGAAAAACATGTTTAGCATCAAAAACGTTTCCTCTGCTCTGCATTTTTAAAGAAAAAAATTTAAATCCTTCTGAATAATCCACATTTTTAACTACATATAACTGTAATCTGATTACGTCTTTTTTTCTATAAATCATCTGATTACGTGTATTTCTTTAGATGTCCCTCTCTACAAACACTGGCACAAGCAAAAGCTGGCGACCTGCCACGTAAACACGTTCACGCGCCTTCCGACGGGCAGCCAATCATAGCGTGCCAACGTGGTGCGTCATCTGTTCTGCACGACGTCGAGCCGAGCCGCCTGAGGGACTTTAACCTGCTCTGATTTAACTCCTGGTTATCGAGGAAGGTCCAGGTAAACACACTGGTTGAATGACAGGTGGTGACACTTGGCACTGTGGCGGTGATTAAGATGTCTGAAGCTGTGCGCGTTCACAGACAGAAAAAAGGGGGCGTGTTCGGATATTGCACAATGGTTCTTACTCCCCCAGAAGAATTGGTTACTGTGATAATATCAGGACGTGAGGAGTCTGAAGAAACCGGACTGATCTCACTGTAGTAGGAGTCAACAATGCCAGGCATGCATTACAGACAGAGTATATTCATTGGTTACATTACACACTGTCCCTGCAGGTGTTCTGTTCTCTTATTGTTGATCTGTGATCACCTGGACACACCTGGCGGGGAGCTGCAGTCTGTGTGAGCTCTTCTAGTTAACCCTTCAACATGGTCACATTATTGTGTTACCTGTACACATTGTGAATAAACAAACAAACAAAAAAGAGTCAATAAGGTAAAATGCTTTCTTAGAGGCTGTTTGTTGTTTTGAACGTGCGTGGAAGTTTGTCAAAAGCGCTGCAAACTGTTTTGTTTTGTTTGTAATTTTGCCAAAAGCCAACATCATCCCCCACACTGCACCCCGCTTTCCATATTAAAACTGATTTGTTTCCTGGTTTTGTTTGTTTGTTTGTTTGTTTGTTTAAGTGACATATATCAGCATGCCGTTGATATCGGAGAGCCTCTATCGTGGAAACTTGTGCGCAGCAGCCAATCCATGCAAATAAAAAAAGGTCGACACTTTGTTTAATTGACCCACTTACCTTTCGCATCCTTGTCTCGGATAAAGTAATGTTTATTGCTGAAGTATTTTTCCTTGGAGTGGTAGACGACAGTAGTCTGACCGTGCCTCTCGGTCCACAAGACTTCGGCTTTCCCCTTGAATTTAATTAACAGCGAGTTTATTTGGCAGTCTTTGGCCACTTCCAGTGTGACCTGACCAGAGACCCAGTCGCCATTGGTAAAGGTGTTTTTCTCATTGATAGGGTTGCAGGTGACTTTGAGGCTCTTTACGGTGCTCGACATGATGCGCAATTAAAGGTAAAGTCAGGCTGACCGAGGAAATAAGAGGGACAACCACGTCCCACTTCCGCGCTGGGTGTGTCCCATTCCTGAGGTGTACCCTGCTTTCCCTCCTTCCCTAACGCACTTATTCATTCAAAATTCATTCATTAGTGTTCACCTTAGTCACCTTCTCTGTCTAAGATGGAAAGAAGGTGAAATCTAACTACTTTTATTAAAGTACCATACTTGAGTACCTTGAATGTGTATAAAAGGTACTGAGTATTTCTATTATACAACTTTCTTCTTTTCTAGATATAAATGTTGTTGCTGCTTTTTTTTACTCCACTGCATCTTTAAGTTACTAATTTACTTTTCAGATTACACTTTTTCATACCTCATACCCAGTGAAAACTATGTATCTACTATATGTATGTAATTTTCCTGATGAACTAAATGATTAGATTAGGGTTTTCCTTTATGGGCTCCCACTTCTTAAACTCCCCCCCCATCATAGTAAAACACTGAGAGGGACCATTTTACTGCACAATGAGTACTTTATTTTAACACTTAAGTACACCTTGCTAATACTACTTACAGTATATAGGTTACATTTTACTTTTGCATGTAAGACTTTTACTTGACTGAGCCTCAGTTCATTATCAGTTTGCTAAACAATTCTACATACAATAAAAAAAAAAATGAAAGTACAAAATGTTACTCCAACAAGGTAATATAAGGTGATATAGAGAGGTATACATATTGCTGAGTTTTGCTAGAGCTTTACTGAACAACAAGATCATAATCAAATGTTCAATCAATTCATAATCAAAGGACTTTGGTCACAGCGCAAACAAAAAAGTGGAGGATTATACACTTTAGGTCACAGTTTATCATTTACATCACTACATCACATTTACATTACTTTTTGAAAAACAAGACACACAAACGTTTTTGCAGGATGGATGAACTTCCTGACAAAGCATTCATCACTCTGCTTCTCACAATGTAACCTGACTATCCTGCATTTAGAAATCCCCTGATGATTGGTAGGCACTCCAAACATTTGGTAACTTGAGTCTACCTAAATTAGGACCCGCTTCAGAGGAGACTTCTGTGAGGTATTGTTAGAGGTATGCTCTGCTGCATTCCAGCATGTTTCTGTGGTTAGAAATTGTTGCCAGCTTTGTGTTTTATAGTGTTGTCAAAGATCATACAGAAAATATTGTAGTACTATCTGAAACAGAACAGCTCTTTGATTATAAGTTTATTAATGATATCTGCCTGTTTTTTTAACCCGCTCTCTGTAGATAAAGACGACTCATGCGGTAATGAAAACACAATTCTTATTTTCCGGTGATTATACACTTATAAAAACCTATGATATATACGGTATTTCATAACTACAAATATATCTATATGTTACATACTGGACCTTTAGGTTAGTGTAACAGTCTCGAAGTCAAAAGTGTAGCCTTCTCTCTCCATGAGTTACTGAGACCGTCACAGAATCACATACAGGGCAAAATCCTGCAGCTTAAAAGGCACTGGTATCTGAGTGTATGCAAGGATCCACTATTTGTAAAGTTATTTTGGAAATGATGTGACATATTTTAACACTATTGTCCAATATATAAACACTTCCCTTTACATAGAACAAAAGAGCTATGGAACATAGGGCGCATATAGTGGCGGTTTCCACCAAACAGCTTCACTCTGACCAGAGAGTTCAGTGAGAAGAATCTCACTTTTTGAATTATATACTGTAGCAGTAATCCAAAAAATACAAATACATTTTTAAAAAGTAAAAAGAAAGCCACTGTATTGTGATACATAACCAGTCGTTTGTTCAACTTCCTTCGCAGGCCTGTCACTGATAGTTATTGCCAAAATCTGTCAAAGGAGGGTACATTCCAAATGCTCCATAAGGAGGTGGTTGAGGTGCTGTTGGTACCACTGTTGGTTGCAGTGGTACAACGCCCAATGCTGGTGGGTTTGTGTTCCCAAATGGTTCGAATCCAAAGCCAGAAGTAGCAGGTGGTGGTGCCATAGCAGGAGCCTGAGCGGCCGGCAGGATGACTATGGGAAATTTTATCTCAGGGTCTAAGGCATATTTGACATCGAGGTAGACCTGTAGAAAACACCATTGATGTTATATTGTTGGATTTTATTTCCCCTTCTTCACCAGAGTTATACAACAGTATTACAGTAGTATTAATTTTATTAACATGACTAAATACCACATGTTTGATTGATGGTGAAATCATATGTGGAAAAAGCTGTAGATGAATCAGCAATGCCAGATGGTAAGATGAAAAAACTAAAGCTCAGACTTTGGATTAAAAAACACAGATGAAGTTTTAAACGCACATCACTACTACATTTCAGTATATGCCTTCCTATAATTGTGTATATATATTACAGGCTACCAGCCTCTGTTGGTACACTGTGTTATTTTAGTGGAAGATAAGCACTGGTTTGTGGATCAAATATAGGCCGAATTAAACACTGACTCATAACACTGTTAATAAATTAAACAACACAGTTTGCTGGTTACTGTACCGCACCTACCATCCGCACACGTTGGCCTATTCATGAGCTATTTTGCATTGACATTTATGGATGGATGGATTTCAGGATGGAATCTAGGCTGACTTTTATAAATGAGGCCCCAGGTCACATTAATCCTTACCCTCACTCTGTACTCCGCCTTGAGGATGCTGCAGTTGAGGATGGAGGGCTCCATATCATGGGGGATGGTGATGATTCTTGAGACCTTCACACTATCAGAAGGAGCAATGGGCTCTCCCACTTCTTTTAAGAGGTCTTTAGTATGAAGTCTTCTCCTCCCACTTGCAAAGAAGCTGTGCTTTCTGTACACACAGTACTTGGGCCTGATCTCACGGGACGAGTTGTTCTCAATGCAGGCCAGAACCTTTATTCCCTCTCCTGCAAAACAGACCACAAATGTCAAAACAATCCTTGATATGAGAATAATACGTGTCAATATCAATTCTCACCTTGGAAGTAACCTGTCTTTTCAATGTCCACATCCATGGCTACTGTTCCTGAGGAGAACATTTTCATTCCCTTGTCCTTACACTCGTGCTGTGGTGTCTGAAAGGAGACCAGATTAATTAATGCAATACACTTAAACAACAACAGAGAGAAAAGAAAACACTTAACCTATCAAATGTCCGAGTCTGGTGCCTGCTTTGCTAACTGAGCCAATTCAACAGCTCAACAAGGAGTTTTTAACTGCTTATGGAACAGTGTCAATTTAATACTGATGCCTCTATATGACCTATATTAACCAACAAGACCATCAGCCAGAAGACTGCATATTTCTATATAGTTATTTTTAATGCCTGCTACCGGGTCGGATTCGCTCAGATTCCCCTAAAAATCAGACAAAACAAGCTGATGGAAACCATTAAATAATACCATTAAATAATACCTCTACAAGTGACACAAAAAAAATCCTATCAACCATTTCAATTTCAGTGTATGGGCCAAATGTGTTTCACCAACAACCCTGATTTGGTTGTGTGTATCTTTAAAGCTGTGTTTACACAGCGTGGGTTTGCCAAATGCAAGTACGCAAATCGCTCCTTAGGTACTCCAGAAGAGCTGTATTTTAGTCATTCACAGGCTATCACCACCTCAAAGACTTTTTCTCCCTATTGGAATGCCAGGAATGAAGACGTTACTCGGCACATACGGTTAGTTCGGGATCACAGCACAGGTCTGCTCTTGTCACAAAGTTGATCTTCGTTGAATCTTTCTTGTCGATCCTCATTGATCTGCTCAGCCTGGCTTTCAGCGAGTACACAATTTTCCCAGCAGAGCCGTTGAAGGAGGAGGGCATATTCCTAAAGCACAAGCGGAAAGCCAGAAGAACATGAGGAACTTATTGGACATTTTTTAAGCACTGCACATACAAAAAGTAAGCACTCAAATGAATTAGTGGGTCTACAAAATAACACAACCTTTAACATTTCTAAATGATTTAATGAAATGTATTCTATCAAAAGAAACTACAGTTGCAAAACTCATGGTTGAATATATTAAGATGGGTTTTCATTAGATAATATACAAGTAGGCCTACGATATTAAAATAAAGTCTGGAGAAGATAAGGGTCTGTCCAATTCATTATGGAACTATTAAATGTGGAGTGTGTAACATTTAGGACGATCTAATGGCAGAAATTAAAGAATATTCAAAGGTATTTGTTCATCAGTATATACCTGAAAATAGCATTTGTTACCTTAGAATGAGACGTTTTTATTATTTTTTTAACAGTCATCGCCCATGGTGTCCGCCATCTTGAATTGCCATGTCTCCACAGTAGCCCAGAACTGACAAACCAAACACTGGCTGTCGATAGGGCCTTTTGTGTTTTTTGCGAGTCCCGCAGCCACCGTAGTATCTCCTACACACTTCACAGCCGTGTCTATAAATACTGTGGTATTCAGTTCCCTGCAATAAACTTCACTGCTAGACGCCACAAAATCCTACACAGCTTTAAAAGATTTAAATTACTTACTCACCGGGGATCTGAAAGGTGAACGGGTAAACATGGCATCCTGGGGCCACAACACTGCTGTCTGAAAGGCAACAAGACGCTTAAAGGCTAAAGTAAAGAAGATGTTTACAACCAAGTTTTCAAGTGTGAACTACAGTTTTTTGGATGTGAGGGCCTCGCCACAGACAGAATTATAAAATACTCACATGTTTCTCCGCTCTGGCTTGTCAGTAGTGTTTGGTTGTCATCTCCTGGAGAGAAAAAAAAGCACACCAAATTAACAGCAATTAACATTGCTTAAGTATTTAAACATCGGCTCTAAAAATGTTAGACATTAGTGAAAAGTCCCAATCACAATTTCTGTAAAATTAACCTTAAAAAAAAGTTTACTATCACATTATAAAATTAAACAGAACATTCTCTGGTATTAGTGGAACCAGGTCATATTATCTGCATGATAAATAAACATCTCCTGTTGATTTTCTCATCAATTAATCATTACCAATCATGTATTAACATTTGATGAATTCCTATGTTCAACATTTTGTTTTAGCTTTTTACACAGCTTACACAGGACACACTGTAATCTGTCATCTGTTTTGGATGAAACTTTGCATGCACATCACCAACCAGTGGGCATCTCTGCATCCACATTACAGCTGATTTGTGTCCTGTATTAGGCTACTATTGTTTTTATATGTATTTATGCAACATCTTTACGTGAACATGCTGTTCTTTTCTGCACAATTAAATTATTTTTTTATTCAATTTACCTACCTTTGAAATCTTTGTCTGCAATAAAGTAATGTTTAATGCTAAAGTACTTGTCCTTGGCGTAGTACGGGACAGTAACTTGCCCGTAGGTCTCGGTCCACAGGACACGGGCTTTCCCTTTTAATTGAATTAACAGGGACTTTATGTGGCACTCTTTGGCCACTTCAAGTGTGACCTGACCCGAAAGGCAGTCGCCGCTGGTGAACGTGTTTTCCTCATTCACGGGGTTATAAGTAACTTTGAAGCTCTTTACGGTGCTCGACATGATGCGTAAAGGTTACGGAAAAAGGTAGAGATAAGCTTAAAAACTCACAACAAAGAAAAAAGCTCGAACTTTTACGGAGGGTGGGTCCAGGGGCGCCGTGGTTTGGGTATTCGTGAGAAAGTTAGGACTGGGGTCCTAAAAATGATAAGAACTTAGGGTTAGTTTAGTTTCCCCCCCGGATATTAAATCATTAATAGAATACTGTATTAACATTGTTACAAGGGTACTGATAAAATTAACGGGTTATTTAAATGTTCTTGTTTGCGGCAAAACTGTAAACAACCCCCCTCCGTATTTACACGAAATGGTTCGGTCCTGCTCCCAAAAACTAGTTATCAGTAACATGCGGATGCTTGATCTAATGCTGGGAGTTTTAGTTCTTATTTAATGATCCAGGTTTTTGGCTCAGCTCAGCAATAAGAACCGGCTCTGTCGGCTCTCAATGGGATCTTCATTTCGTGCCACCTCTTGTTCTGTAATTCAGCCAAAGTTAGCAATGTTTTGACCCATGATTGGTGTACACATAGGCTACATTAAGGCTATATCACTTCAGTTATTCAGTGTAAAACCATAATTTGGTGCATAAATAAAGTATAAACATAAAAAACTATTACACATGTGTATTTAAATGTAAAAAAAAAAAAAAAGTTTAAAATGTATATTGAACTATGTTTTTTTTGTAGTTGGTGACCAGTTTAGCATACAAAAGCTTCACCATGCTTGGGTCTTCGTGTTGTTACCAAAGTGAAACATTTCTGGATTGTGTTCAACAATTACGTCATGGGCTCATCTTATTTTTCTGTCTTGTATTAATTTATTTTTAAAAAGAATGAAAAAAAAATGCTCTCAGACAATAACTTAACATAATCCGTGGCATCTATAGATGAAAAAGGTTCATTCTAAGGTATCGAAAACATTATTTTCAGGTGATTATACACTATTGAAAACGTATTCAGGAACTATATTCCATTTCTGCCGATAGATCTTCCTAAATGTCACACACTGGAGCCGGCTTGATCACAATGTTTTAATTTCAGATGACTGTTCTCTGGCTGTAGTGGGGATTTCCTCATTGAGGTGGTGCATTGCTGCCAAATAAACAATCAATAAATGCAATCCAGTTGAACACCACCACTAATTAGGTAGCAACTATAAAATCAAGTCAAGTCAATCAACATTTCTCTGACACTGTGTCACAGAACCTGAAAATTACAAGCTTCATCGTAGCATGATTTGCTGGACTGTTGTAATGTAATGAGTTAATTTTGAGCCACTTGGATGCTTGCCATTGTAAACTATTATGAGCCCTACACTGTTTTATGACTGTTGTTGTAAGATATCAGCATTCTAAAGGGTTATATAAAACATCAGGTAAATTATCCGAATATAATTAAATACTTCTAGCCCCAGCTATTACTAATAAAATACAAATATATATACCCTGTGGAGTATATGTTTAAAGCATAACCTTTTTCAGAAGATTGTTTGAGTAGGGTTAAGGTTTTTTTTATGCCTAAAAAGTGTTTCACAAAAATTCCTAAATTAAATTCCTTCCATCCACTTTCTACACGAGCATGATCTTTATCACCTTAAATGTCAGAGCTGTCTCACATGAAATCAGCAAACACAAGACACACCCTCCAGCCCACTTTTGATCATAAAGGTCATTAGCTTATTTTCCTATGAACAATAATCACAACCAGCTTGTGACTCATTCAGATTTTATTTTCCAGTGGAAAGAAAGTACACATGTCAAACGTTCAGGCTCACTGGTGACAATAGAGTATGGCATCTCGTGACTGATGTCTATCTCGTGGAATTTTTCCATACACAATTTTTTACTATGAATCCATTTCTACACAGAGATATAAAGAGAATAAGAGATTAAAAAGTATGCAGTATCTCTTTTAGAGTGCTCCTGTTTGTCAGATCCTCTTTTTCCACTTTTTTACATATACTGTAGCTGGTGGCAAAGAGGTTAGATTACATATTCAGAAATGCATCTGTTACAAAGTTATTATAGTTTTGAAAGTACACATTTGTCATGTAACTATTCTGTTGTCAGACACCAGAAATACTGAAAACTGCATTTTCTCTGTGGTAAGGTAGATTCGCCTACCTAAGAGAGTCAGACACCCCCCCTTCTGTAACCTGACTCAAACACGAACAATCATTTTTTGCACTTTTTGCACATTATTAAACTGTACATTTGATCTTTTATATATATATATATATATATATATAGTTATATATATATATTTTTTTTTTTTATTGTTCTTAATAGATGTTGCTTGTATAATATATGTTGTTTGTATATCTGGAGTTTGTAACTAAAATAATTTCCCCCTGGGATTATTATAAGTATTTTTGATTCTGATTCTGATTATATTTATTGTTTATTTAAGCATATCTAAATCCACATTCTTCATGACATAATCTACAACATTTCAGTATTCATCATTAAAGACAAAACCATGAGATCAAGTGAAGTAATTTACTGGCCATGCAGACATCGTACAGGAGCTGATCAATGCCCCTCGTTACTTAATTTATTAAATTAAATCATTCTTATAAATATCCTAAATTAAAAAAAAGACATTGTTTCAGTGTCATCATTCTTGCCATTTTACCTGGACAACAAGGATTAAGCAAAATGTTGTTATACTACTATACTATACTTTGTTGCAGTAATTCCTAATTTAGAGTCATGTCTCATACTGTGAATTTAAAAAGAGTGCTGCACCCTCTAAATTTATTTTGAGCTTCTTCCATTGAAGTCCATCAAGGAGGGGTACATCCCATATGTCCCATAGGGTGGAGGTGGAGCAGAAGGGCCTGAGGCAGTTGGGTTTTGTAGGAAGCTTGCTCCTCCTGGCATGTCTGAGCTTGCAAATGCTTCATATCCATAGGTAGGATAAGCAGGCACATCCTCCCCATCAGGCTCCTGTAGAGCCGGCAGAATGACGATGGGGAACTTGATCTCGGGGTCTGACGCGTACTTGACATCCAGATAGACCTGTGGTTTGAGACATAGTCAGCACTTGTCATAGCGATCGTGCAGCCCAGTTGACATAAAGACATAGTGATATGATTTGGGAAGAGAGATACGCACCCTGAGCCTGTACTCTGCTTTGAGGACCCTGCAGTTTAAGATGGACATACCCATGGTGGGAGGGATGGTGATGATCCTGGTGACGGTCTGACCTGCAGAAGGCGGGATGGCGTCGCCCACCTCTTTCAGGATGTCTTTGGTTTCGACTCTCCTCTTCCCCTTTGCAAAGTAACTGTACTTCCTATACAAACAGTACTTGGGCCTAATCTCACGAGATGATTTGTTATGAATGGAGGCCACAACCTTTATTCCTTCTCCTGCAAAACAGAGCAGCACTTATTACACAATGGTTGTAATCACAAAACATGCTCTCTTAAATATGATCACGCCTCTTACTCTCTTAAATGTCCAATGTGTAGCATTTTGGAGTATCTTTTGGCATTCATGGTATATGATATTCATAGGTATGTTTTTATGAGTGTACAGTCACCTGAAAATAAAAATCCTTGTGTTTTAGTTACCTTAGAATAAGCTGTCTTTATCTACAGAGGGAGCCGATCCTCTTTTTATGGAGTCTGCCATGTTAAACTACCATGTTTCTACAGTAGCTCAGCTTTCGATCTTAACTTTGCTTACAATAGCCACCATAAGCATAACGTGATATTTCTTTTTTCAAAAGTTATATTCTAGATTTGAATACAAAGCCTGACAATTATTTTCAAATTACATTTCTGAAATTGCTCGGTGTGTTCTGAAGGACCAATACCTTCAACCTAGAGAATTTATTATCTCTGGTCTCATTTGTTGTTGTCGTATCTTTAGACCATAAAACATTTCCATGAGCAAAGGGACTTTGAGCTACACATGATTCAACTGTGAACCCACTGTTAAGATAATCAGTGAAATGAATGTATAATTCAATCTAAAATTACCTTGGTGGAATCCTGTCCGGTTAATATTTACATCCATGCCTACGGCTCCCGATGTAAAGAGCTTCATTTTCTTCTCTGTGTTGCTGTGCTGTGGAGTCTGACAGGAAAATGACAAATTAGTTAGATATAGTGTTACTTATCATTACTGCAGTGTCAAAGCCAACATAGTGTGTGTGTGTGTGTGTGTGTGTGTGTGTGTGTGTGTGTGTGTGTGTGTGTGTGTGTGTGTGTGTGTGTGTGTGTTGTAAGGTGGGTACCATCAGTGATGGATCACTCTTTAGGTTCCCATTGTGGACGAGAGTGAACTTCGCCTTAGCTTTGCTGTCTATTCTCATTGACCTGCTCAGATTTGCCTCCAGTGTGTACACAATCTTTCCTTTTGAGTCTTTGAAGGATGATGGTAGGTCTCTGCAAGAGGTGACAACGTGTTATACAAAACAGAGTGGATGTGACAGTAAGACCGCATTCAGACTGCAGGCCAAAGTGAACCAAATCAGATTTATTTTGCTCATATGTGACTCAAATCATTGTGAACAGCATAAATCACATGGAATCTGATCTTTTTCGATACAGGTCTGATATGTGACAGTGTGAACAGTTATATCAAAGTTCATGGGACTTTTACATCCCTCATCAAGATTTCAGGACCATGACCTGTTCACTATGGAATCTGATATGGGCCACATTAAAAAAAATTAAGGTGAACTGCCAGACAAATCAGATCTGAGGACTGAATCAGAATTGAGCACTAAGGCTTGCAGTGTGAACATAGCTCTTTCAGTAGCAGTATATTTAGATTGTCGAGCAAAGCATCAAGAGGAACTACATTATATAGCTACTCATGCCACTTGGAAATTAAAGATTATATACATTATGACACATGCTTATTAATAATAATAAAAAATAAAGAACAAAATGAAATGTGCTCATGTTTAAAGACATTTAAAGGTAATATTGTGTTGATTAGGCTAATTACTCACTGTGCAGGGATCATAAAGGTGAATGGGTACACATGGCAGCCCCGGTCAACAAGACTGTCTGAAAGGCAGTAAAGTTAAAAGTAAAGTAAAGTTGAATTAAGACATGTGTAGCTCTTAGACTAACTCTTGTCAGTATGGTTGTCCACTTTCACTGGCAAAAGTCAAAAATCAGGAAGTGGGAGAAAATCTAAGAACAAGCTTCCTGTGATATCCTATGTTTACTGTCAGTGTGAGTGGGTCACAAAGACACAAACATCAGACTTGAATATTAGGTCTTGTGTCTTGATTTTTCTAAAATCCTGCAGTACATATACATGTTTAAATGCAGATTGTGGCATTTATGTAACCTCATGTATATCCTTAAATCTTGAAGAAATGCCCCAAAAGTATATCATGCTGCGTATCATGTTTTTATGCAAATACATTTAATGCAGGATAAAAACAGTGTAGGTGACAAAATAAAAACAGTCCTAAAACAATTGATAGTATACTGTATGTAAAAAGAGTTCCACGATTAAATGAATTAATGAATCTGATTACAATAGGTTGTTTCTAAATTGAATGACATAAGTAGGTGACTTACCCCGGCCATCCACAAAGATAAACTGCTTGATACTAAAGTATTTCTCCTTGGCATGGTACCTTACAGTTGTTCTTCCATAATTTTCAGTCCAATTGACTTCTGCTTTTCCCTTCAGCTTTACACAGAGTGAATCTATTTTACATTCTTTTTCCAGTTCTAATGTAATCTGTCCTGTGATTTGATTGCCACTGGCGAAAATATTGCTTTTGTTTATGGGATTATATCCCACTGAAAAGCTCTTTACATTATTCGACATGATATTCTGTGTGACCGCCAAGCAAAGCTGTAAGTACAAAGTAAGTGGCAGGAGAGATTGTGAGGACGGAGATGAATGGAGACGCTTTGGTTTAGCTAATAATTAAACCATAATACTTCAATAAATCTTGCTTACTTGTTAGAACCAGATTCATAGATGCAAAACAAAGAATTATTGGCTCTAAGAATATAAAATAATGCTTTGGGGAAAGGAAATTGGTGTAAATAGAATATTATATGCATGCTTCTTGCATAAATAAATGCAGTGGTTTAACACCACCATTTAATGAATGAGCTCATTCTGTATGTAAGTGCCGTCAGCTTTATCACTAGCATATGCTACTACAGGCAGCTGCTACTCATATGGGTGTGTCTAAAACCTGTCAAACACAGCAGTGATCATGCAGGCAAACATGTTACTGGAAATAATGAGTATATGGAATCCAGGGAAAGTACACCTAAAGTCTAAAGGTGTGAGGATAAACATGCTTGAAAGCACCATGCAGAAATGGGTGTATCTTATTCCGGTAAGCTGTTTGTAAGTCATACATTGCTTCACGGGTACAAGAAGTTAATAATTACAACAGATTTTATTTCCATCTTGTGTCAGTGCCCTACACACTATATCATAACCCATATTGCAGTTGAGTATATTTCCTATTATAGTACGATATACAATTTAATGTGAAAGCCCATAGCCTGAATGGACAATATATAGTAATATAGTAATTTAGATGTATACCCCAGGTGAAACGCATTTGTATCTGCTGGTATTTTGTGATGTAAAAGGCCAAAAAAAAGAGCTTGTTAAAATAGAAAGTCCATAGCCTGGGGATATCAGTCCTTAAAGCTGTCATGAAAACAGCTGTGAGTATGTGGCCAGCTGTCAAGGTACTATCACCAGTCAAAGAGTCACCTTGCACAACAGATGATTTTTTTACTTTCTTCACCTTTGACAGTGACGTCCTTGTTATTTGCTGGGGTTGATATGATCACACACATCATCCACTACGTGAAACGTGCAGTTTTCAGCACCCATTTGACAGGTTTATGGCACTTTGTCAAAGAAAGAGAAAAAATGATGATACAGTTGGCGCCTCACACTGTAACCCTGTGTGTTGCTGCCCCCCATAGGAAACTATATGCACTGCACCATATTTGCAGCCAAAACACAGCTGTAAAAAGGGCAAAATCAATGTTTTTAAAAGATTAAAAAAAGAAAAAAATACCTCACGTAAAGCATCAAATTTTGATTCCACTTTATTTAAACATTATTCTACTATCCTACTACAGAGGGTACAATTCTGTAAATTGGTTACAAACACATTCAAACGAAAGGCCTGAGACAATATGAACCCACATTGGCATCAAATAATGAAACTTTAAACAAAAGTCTGTAAACAGGGTTAGATGTGCAGAGCTGAGAATATTAACATACTGGCTTGCTCAGAGTCAGTGCCCGGCTGAATAAAGAGGAGACGGCTCTCCTCCAGGAAATTAAGCTGATGGTGTTCAAAATGATACGTAATTAGGCTAAAAAGAGTGAATTACGTTTACACGGCACTTGCAGCATCGGCCCTGCTGAAGGGAGCAAAATAAGTAATTTGGTGTACTGCACTGAACCTGTTCAGCCGAGCATTGAGCTGTTTGCATGGTGGATCTCTGTTATCATCATTTACTTCTATTGCGCCCAAACTTCTAATCTAGTCACATTACTTCTTTACACATTTTACTTACAAAACAGTGTGTATGCCATAACAGTTGATACGTTTATTAAAATAATATGGCAAGTCCAAAAGGACTTTACAATGCATTTACAATTAATGCAGGTTCTTCATCTCAGACAATCCCTTGAAGATTCAGAAGGGACTTCAGTAACATAATTTCTATTCAGGCAAGAACAAGAGAATCTTATCTGATCGTTAACGGTGGACACTGAAGGGGCCTGTCAATAATAAAGATCTTTGGTATGGCATAAGTGGTGATAACATTCAAAGAGTACCATATCTTCCCCAAATGCTTCAATCTACTCAATCCCAAACTGAAACAGAATCCACAGTGAACAGTACCCAGTTGAAAACACACTCTGAAAAGTTAATTAAGGCAGTATGATGCTTTAACTTTATCCTAATGCTAGAACACAGTTTCATCAAAGCTGTCTTTGGCTTACATTTAATAAACTGAAGAGGTACTTGCTGAATAAACAAAGCACTATGGTGTGTCAAAAATGACACCAAACATACAGCTGTTATAAAAAATATATAATTATAACCGTAGTGTAAATAGAAATGTTTACTTTTCAATGACTGCGCATACAGTTATTAAAAAGCTGACAAAACCATGAGTAAGAGTAAAATCATGAGTGGACCATCATGAACAGAATGATGATCTGCAGTTAAAATGCTCAGTTGCTGTTATTTTCTTTGTAACAGAAAACATGAAATTAATTTAAAATAATAATAAAATAAAGAACAGCAAGAGAGCATAATGCCTGCTTAAAACATACAAGGACATGGAAAACATCAAGTAGTACACGATAAAATAAAGAGACAGAGTTTGACTGTGGGAAGAAAAAAGGTCCAGTGTGTGACACTTAGGAGGATCTATTGCCAGAAGTGGAATATGCATAACTGTGTATTATTTGGTGTATAATCACCTGAATATAGGAAAATGTTTATGTTTTATGTTACATGAGAATAAGCCATTTATATCTACAGGAGCCCAGAAGGGGAAAAAACACTACACTACATTACAAAGGTAAAGTGAGGGAATTGGGATCGAGCCGTGTGTTGCCTAACAGAAAGGCATTGCACCATTGTGTAATATTAGCTGCATTTAAAACAAATTCTACTCACAAATAAGGTGGGGGATTTGCGTTTACAGGGGTACCACACAGGATGATGGGAAAAAGCACTTCAAGGTCCGGGGCAGCTGTTAAGCTCATGATCACCTAGAAGAGACACAAGAGAAAATAAAAGACTTTAAATTCATCCTGAAGCTGTTTTAAAGAACCAGTGAATCTCTCTGAACAAGTGAATGAATGATTTCTTCCAGCATCGGGTAACAACCTCAACAATGTAGTCAACTTCCAGGATGCTGCAGTTAGAAATGCTGAGTGATGCAGACGAGGGTATGGGGAGCATCATCTCCGTGCGCAAGTCGGAAGCGGCAGCACGGATGGGCTGTCCGGTCACAGATGCCATGTTTTTGATAACATTCCTCTTACTGACCCTGTTGTGGGTGTAGTGAACCACTTTCTGTAGCAGTTTCACCTTCAGAGTAACTGTGCGTGACGAATAGTTACTGAAGTTGCAAATGACTTTCACAGTTTCACCTGGAGGAAGAACAGACACAGTGTTTGGATGTGGTTATTTTAAATGGAAGTTTTCAAGTTTTCCCTATCATGATTATTTCATTCAGTGGATGGATACAATACCAGGGATGAAGGCTTTCTTCTCTGTGCTGGCTGTCACTGTGATTGGACCCGAGGCACACCACAGGCAGCACAGTGTCATGGTGTTGCGGCCTGAGAGAGGAGCCTGCAGAAAACAACAGTGGAATATGTGGAGAAAATGCAATTTCTTATATTTTACTTTTTTGTGCAATTGCGAGTACCATTTCCATTCCTCGGTTGTATGCTAACATGTTGCACATTTCTGAATCTATGTGCTCAATCAAACTACTGGTCCCAGTGTGGCATGGTCATGGATCACTTACCGACAGCTCTGGGTTGCTGGTATCAATGCGGTTCACAAAGTTCAACTCTGTCACAAAGTCCTTGCTCATATGCCAGGGTCTGTAGATGCCCACTGTCAAGCTGTACATGGCATGTCCATGAACCCCGTGGAAGGTGGATGGGAAGTCTCTGCATTGTTGCAATATAAGAATAAAAGAAAAAGAAAAAAAAGAAATAATAAGAAGCAGATGCAGCCTGGAAAGAAGACGCTACTTTTTCTTTTCGTTTTTTTCTCTCCAAAAGATTAAGCTGAAGATTCAGCAAACTCTGATGTTTGAGTAGGCTGTCACAATATTTCTGGACCCTGGGGTTTAGTTTGCAACCTTGCTTTAAAATAAAAAATGTTTTCCCTTAAAGATCATGGTAATCCGTGCATATCAGTAGGCCTATATCTAAATCCAAAGCAACATGCGACCCTCATTAGTCTCTGTAGAAGAAACAAGAAAAAACAAAGTAACAAAATCCCACCCGAAATGGAAACGGCTCATACACACCCCTGCGGGATCTGGCATGAGAACGGATACATATGCGTGCCGGGCTGAAGTTTTGCTGGCTCACCAGTAACTGCAAGGGGAAGACAAACTGACTTATTCAACAATTACTGGTTATTTTGCAATGCTGCCCCTGCATGCAAACGTCCTTGATGAGCACATACCACTGTTTTCTTGCAAGAGGACGCTTTTCAATTTAAATAATTCCAATTTGGCCGAGTAATTTCTTCGGCTTCTTTTCTTCCCCCCACCGGTTGACCAGTGGACGTTCACCTTTCCTTTCAGTGCCATTGTTATTGAAGAGACCTTCGTCTCCTTTGTGAGCTCGAAGGAGATGTGTCCTGCGATCAGGTCCCCGCTGGAGACAGTATTCCTCTCATTCAAAGCGTTATAATTGACGTTGAAGTTCTTTATCGTCGGCTGGAACATCGCTGAACTAAACCAGGCTCTAAAGAAAATCAGAAAATAAAACTAATCTAGTTCAAACGCCCTTGCAGTGAAGCAATCGATTTGGTTAATCCAAAAACCTGAGGAATCACTCATTTCAGTATTACCACAGTACTTTAAACAACATGCAAAAACAAAGGCTAAGCTCTAACAAACCGCGCAGGCGCAGAACCTTCAAGACACCCAACCCTGATTTTAGGCGGAGCCAGGGGCCCCAAGTCCGATATATGTCATGTCATGTGAGTCAGTGTGCTGCACAGGACTGATAAAGTGACAAAAAGTGTAATTTTCTACACATTTTCTTTCTTTCTAAAATCTATTCAAAATATTTAAGTATACACACTTCATTGTGGGAACTGGAAGTGCTGAGTCCTAAAATCTGGCATAATGAAACTATTCTATCATAACAATGTTTAAAATTATAATGACTCTCTCCTTTTCTACTGGGATTTACAGATACACACTGGTATTTTAGTAAGTGCAGAAAGGAAGAGTGGTTTTAGATTGCTTTTTTTATCCGTTTTATTTGCTAAAAAATTTGAATCACTATTAAATAGACAGCCTGGTCATTCAAAGGAATGCAAAACCATTAATGTCACGCTTTTAGCATTTAGCATTTAGCATGATGTTATTATATAGACTGACTTTCTCTCACAATTCACTCCATACTGCTACTTTTCACTTTATGCTGCAACAGCAACAGCAAATAGACGCATTAGTGAAAAAGAAAATGCACTGAAAAAAGCAATTAAGTTTTTAATTTAATTACAAAATGCATTTGTGAAATGTAAACACCAAATAGATTTATCTTATCTGCAGTGTATAAGGAGTTACTTCACTGTATTATTTCAAGCAGCAGAATTTGATTAATTTATCATGTGGACTTACAAGACACTAAACAAGAACAACCAAGATGATTATGTAACAGTTAATGATCTAATTTACTTCATCCTAAAATAGAGTGTGTGCTCCTTAGATTTGCCCAAATTAAAACTTCCTTTGGATTTTGATGTCCTGCATCCTGCATTGGTGATATTTATATGATGGCTATGATCACATTTTTAAAGTGTCAAAAACTCATTACTCATGGAAAAAAACTGAATTTATCTGGCTTTTCTGCTAAAATGTCTCTACTTTTTGTATTTTTTCACAAGTCTGTGAGTTTAGATGGAAGTCTTAAGACAGACTGGGGACTTTGTCTCTGGTGACAGAGACTGAAGGCAAGGAACTTTTTGCCTTTATTGTATAAACTGTGTGCGATCTGCAGGATATTTATCTGATGACATGAATGAACATGATTTGTTTCTTGCTTCCTTTCTTCATCTGTGATTTAAATAAAAAAAAGAATCCTGATGTTCTGGCCTGAGGTTAGTGCCTAGTGTGTTTCTAAATTTCTGAATCACTTTATCTCAACACTAACGTATTTGGAAAACTCTATGGTATATCACAAACTAAAATATGAATATTTGAAATACACATTTCCAGAACACAGTCTGTAGATAATCATCATCATGAGAAGACATAGTTTATCATACATACTAGCATCAAAGTTGTTCAAAGACTTTTGCAGCACATGATCAAAATTTAGGTCTTGAAAATGAAAGTCTAATTCTGGTGGAGATAGCGGACTCCCACAGCACCTCATACTGGAGGCTCATTGAAACAACCACCAGGATATTACTGTTAGAAAACCAACAAGATTCTGAGCTGAATTCAGCTCTGAAGAGGTTTTATCCAAACTCCTGTCCACTTAGCACGTTGTGTCCTCCATGGAGCCAAGAAACAAGACTTTAAGACTTAAATGATGTTTTTATGGTTTACGGATGGAGTGCTGTTTTTGTTTGTTTGTTTAAAGGGTTTATTCACTCAGCTACAGTGCACGGTAGCTTTGGTTTTTTATTTGCTCAGATTTTGAGATATACATGTAAGATTTGTGCCACCACCCACATACAATAGAGTTACATTGGAAAATACATTTAAAAAGAGTATCATCTCTTTTCGAAATAATGTCCCTGTTAATGTGAATAATTTACATAACATCTAGCATTTCCAGAACAATCCAGAGGAATATGAGCATTGTTTCAGTATATAGTTTTTCCAATGCTATGAATACCACAAAATTACATTTATTGGCATCTAGGGGATGAAAAAAGTGATAATAAAACAAAAGCTGCTGTTGCTGTAACCATTTAACCACTAGATGGCACTAAATACTTTATTCTGATGCTCACTGTGCTTTATGTAGTATAAACCATGACTATACAGAACTTACTGAAAACATAACTTAATGTAATTTTAAGCCAGAATGTCACATTTCTTCCAGATGTAGATCAGTTATTTCCGAACTACTCCTGGAATCAGCATCACAGCGGCATTATAAACATAATGTTTTGTAATGCTTTAATAACAAGAGGTTAAATTGCTCTTTGATGGGTTTATGGTACACAATACAGCCATAAATGCTGATAACGACCCATTAAAACTGACAGCACAAGGCATATAAAAACTACAAGCACAAGTTAACTTCACCACATATCTTTTCATACCTGCTGTCTTGCTCTATTTGAGAAGGGAATGGACCTGCCAGCAGTTTCCACTAAAGTATGAGATTGTATTTGGAGTGTAGTGAGGCACAACATATTGTACAAATTACTTGTCAGCGATTGTGTTTGGGCTGTTATGTATGGAAGCCGTGCATTGCTTACCAGACCGCCCTATGGTGGTGTGTATCTACTGTACGTTGAAACATATTTAACTCTATATGGGAGTTTTCTCAATTGCACACAGGCAATGTCTTACAGTGTATCAACAACACTGTCAGGTGTGCATGTTTTTAGCAGAAATTCAGCCCAAGAGTTGCATGAAGTTTCCATTCCACCAAACTTGTACAAAGTTTTTAAAACCTCCACCCCCTTGTTTTACGCTTCAATTTATATTTGCTAAGTGCGTGTGCATGTGGGACTTTATCAAGTTAAATGTTTGACAAGACAGTTAGATCAGAATCTTGATGTAGAGCTTCAACCGCAGTTTAAAACAGGAAGCACTCAAAAGCAAAGGTTGCTTCAATCAACAAACTTTAATCATCATCATCTGTTATTCCATCCAACTGTCCATTAACTTCGCAAAGACTTAACATTCGGGCTTATAAACAGCCTGGTGGAAAGAATTTTGTTGTTGTAATGGCACTGGGAGACTCAGATAGTGACTCAACTCTCCTGGAAATAAATAAGAAACAATTAACAAATTGAAATAACACACTGTGTGATAATAATCATGTTGCCTTTTTGCCTCCAAGGCTGATTTTCTGTCAACAAAATAACAGATATTTGATTCAAAGTCCTGGCCTTAATGTTATAGTGTGACATGATTTCAACAAGTCCTATAGTGAATCTTCTGTGAGAGCTAGCTTCTGAGAGCTAATATGTTTCTATCAAGTAAAAGAGTCTTAGCAACATGATCTTGTGATGCAGATCTACATGTTGGACATTAATGTGCGTGTGTATCTTTGGTTGAGTGCACTCACACACACAACCATTTATAATAGGCTTTGGCTTCAGCTGTCTCTGATAAGGGCACCTATCAGGTTTAGTTGAGCTCACAGTGACTTGACTTTGCCTGCCAACTTGGTAAACCAACCACACACAGTATGACGGCTGCACACACACACCTATCTCTCCATCCATCTCTTTATCTCATAGATATCGCATCACGTTGTTAATTGGATCATCCAGACGGCAGCAGTTGGTATTTTGATCTAGCTGTGTCCAGTACTGGTGAAGTAACATCTAGATGACAGCTTTATTTTTGCTTTTATTTCTTTTTCAAGCTTATGTGGTTTGACTTAACCCTAAATACACCCAAACATAATGTTTACTCTGACATCCTCCATTCTGAATCTCTATAACAGCCTTCACCAGCTCCCATAATGAGGCAGCTGCATGGTGTGTGCAACATGTTTCCCTCATCATCAAAGTTCCTGTGTACCTGTACCTGTCCATTTTTCATGTGAGCTCAAACAGAGTAATTACTCTCTGTTTTCCTGTCATTATTTCACCCCTTAATCACTCTTCTGTCTTTGTCTAACAATTTCTACTTTCACTTTGTTACCCAGTTATAAACCTATTGTTTGTTGTACAGGAATAGAGTAGACATTTCAGCTTATCAGATCTAAATCCAAAGTGAAGTAAAAGAACCCAGAGGATAAGCCACGTTATTGATCTGTAGTTTCTACACACCGCCTCTCTCCTCTAGTTAATCCACAGGGTCAGCTCTAATGACATTGAGGAGCTCCTCTGGCAGTCAGCACTGCTGCCATTTGCAATTTAGATAGACGGAAAGGAGAAGAGGAGGAGGAGGTGTATGAGTGAAAATAAGGAGGGAAAGTGAAGGAGAAGGGAAACAGGAGAGGAACAGGAGGGCTGAAAAAAGTGACAGGGAGGCAAAAGAGATGATGGATAAAAGGAAAAGACAGGAAAATGGTTTGAAGAAAGGAGAGATACGAAGTAGAGTTGGTGGATTTGAGTGACAGAAAGTGAGAATTTCAGTTTGAGACTGTGCTGACTGGGTTTCGTCATGTCTCACACAATAAATACATTTGGCAACTTTCGCTCAATGCATAAGGAATAGTTTGACATTTTGGGAAATTGCTTTCTTTCCAACAGACTGATGAGAAGATTGACATCATTTTTTTATCTGTCCGTTACCACCAGCAGCCTGTTAGCTTAGTTTAGCATAATTACTTGTCAAAGGGAAAACAAATCCACCTACTAGCACCGCTTAAGTTCACTAAAAACACCTCATATCTTGTTCATTTAATACATAATTTAAAGTGTAAATAACAATAATTTGCCATTTTATGGGGGTGGCTTCCTGCAGTCAACCAATGGTGGCAACCTCATGGTGTAGACAGGACTTTAGGATATAGTCTTGCGCATAACCCCCATAAAATGTAATTTTTTCATTTAACGAATGAAATATAATGTTCTCATTAGTGAACTTTAAAATTGTAAAGTAAAAATGTGGATTTTGTTAAACCTTCAAGAATCTGTTTCCCCCTGCTTCCTGTCCTTATGCCAAGCTAATCTGACTGGCTGCTGCCAGTAGCTTCATATTTACTTTGCACACAAGAATGGCATCAATCTTTGCATCAAGAAAACAAATAGCCTAAAGTGTTATT